ACTTTTGATTGAAAAGAGATGGGACTTTCATATTTGACATTTAGTTTTACCTGCAACAAAATATTTCTGATAGGGGTGCATATTTGACACACAATCTGCCATAAATTATGGCATCCCATTCACTTAAACACAGAAAGCAGAGGACCACAATTCTTTGAATTTGCTTGTTTAATCTTGATATGGAAACATCCTCAGATAATGTAGATTCAAGTTTTTTATGCTACGCCATGATTAGGAATACATGTATTACTTTTTGTCATGTCCGTCTTCCACCCTTCCATCTGTCTTTCCATCGAGCTCAAAGAAACTTTCTTGATATTTTTATCATCCAACGGCGGCAATATTTTTTTACCTTGATTTTCCTTTGACCTTCACTTAACTTTTCTTAAAATTAGTGTTTAGCTTTATTTTAAAGAAACCATAATGATTCAAGTTGTGTAATGAAACTTCACATGATGATACGTACTGATGTAAGCTTTACAATGCTTCACTCTATTTTTACCTTGACATTTCTTATGACCTTGACCTCACTTTTCTAAAATTGATGTCAAAGACTAGATCAGTTTCAGCTAGAACAACATTTTGACCCCAACCTTTTCTTTGACATCTCTTTTCTTAAAACAAAGTGTTAAGCTCGGTTTCATTAAATCATTCAAGATATTTTTATCAAACACAATATGCTGATATGTATTAGTGAGAGCTATTCAACTGCATCAAAAACTACATCTTGCACATTCCTGTGACCTTGCCCTCCCTCCTCTTAAAGACTTTAATTTGTATTTTGCTTAGTTTTAAAGAAATAATATAAGACATTTTTATGTTTAGCATGCACTTAAACGTAATTTGATGAGAATTTATTATCTATATCCAATTTATTTATATTTTAGTTTCAATTCTGAAAAAAAAACTGTTTAAGATATTTTCATCAAACTTTATTCATTAATACAAATTTTCATGTACCATTAGTAATACACATCTGGCGGGACATTCATGTCCTATAGACAAATTTCTAGTTTTTCAAATCATCACCTCAGGCTAGGGTCAGGCCACAATTAGGGATCAAAGTTTTATTTAGGAATAAAAGGAAACACATCTTCAAAATTCTTCTTTTCAAGAAGACCAAGAGCATGATTAATATGGAAATATTCTCAAGAAGTGTACATTCAAGTTTGTACAAATCATGACCCCCAGGGTTAGGGAGAGGCCATATTTTTCCTGGCCTTTTTTGCAATCCGCATGAAAATTCAAATTTTGAAACCATTTTACACATATGCAAAACAAACCAATCCTTTTCTAAATGATCATGGTTTAAAGCTATTGCAGCATAAGATATTAGGGAAGTTCTTGAAAGCAGGGTGATAAAACATATCAAATATATGTAAAAAAAAAAAAATTCTACCCCGATCTGACACCCCCTCCCCCCGGGCAAAATGAAAATTCCGAAACCTTACTGCACATCTACATGACACCACAAACCATCTCTTAAAAGATGATTAGGCTGCTGAGTAAAATGTAAGAGAAGTTTAGGGAAGACGGGGCTTTTTGCATTAAAAAACATCAATTTTTTACCCTCATTTGACCCCCCGGGGCAAAATCAAAATTCCGAAACCTTACTACACATCTACATGACACCGCCAACCAACTCCTAAAAATGATCAGGCTTCTGTGTAAAATGTAGAAGGAGTTCAGGGAAGATGGTGCTTTTAGCATAAAAAACGTTATTTTTCGACCCCCATTTGATCCACTTGCACATCTACATGAAACAACAAACCATCTTTCAAAAGACGATTAGACTGCTGTGTAAAATGTAGAAGGAGTTCAGGGAAGAAGGTGCTTTTTGCATAAAAAACATCATTTTTCGACTCCCATTTGACCTCCCGGGGCAAAATCAAAATTCCGAAACCTTACTGCACATCTACATGACACCACCAAACACCTCTTAAAAGATCATTAGGCTACGTAGTCAAATGTAAGAGGAGTTCAGGGAAGACGGGGTTTTAAGCATAAAAAACGTCATTTTTATCATTAATATATCGTAATATTATCATTACGATTTTACCATACCACATATAAACAAATCGCTGTCATAAACACACGTGAAACATGCCGGAGACTTGCTGTTGCGTACCTGCTTTCCCATCAGATCAAACGAGACGAAAATCATGGATTCATGCAATTAGACGAGGGGAAAATCGTTTCCAGAGCTGGGAACCTTCTGCCTATGCCGTTGTGTGCAGATCGCATTTCAAAGAGAGCGATTATTTAGCAGAGACTGTTCACGGTAAAATTCTTTAAAAATCTTGTGCATTTCTTAATATTATCACAAATCAGTTCATGTTACATAAATTTATAATGCAGAAGATTAGTTTAGATAAAATGTTAAAAATGTAGGTATGAAATCGATAAAATTCAAGCATAGAATATATAAAACGTTAGATTTCATGGATTACATTTTTGAGGCTTTATTATTTTCTTTCAGTAAACTCCCGTAATTTTTTTTTTTATGTTTTTCATTTCTCATGAACCAAAAATAGTTAAATTATATGATCGTAAACAACAGCTCTTGACATCAAATGCCAAGCCAGTATACCCCGCTGATTTGCACTATCGGAACATGCCACACATACGTAAATAACTGCCCTGTGTAAACATCTGGCATCGTAAATTTCTCTGTTCAATGAGACCACCTGTTGTTAATGAAGTCTTCTATTGCATTTGCTTATTATACATATTAGTCTTATCCACTAAACTGATTATCAAACAAAGATATATTAGCACCTTCAGTCTAACTTACTTATGTAAATATTTTTTTTTACAAATACGCATGTTCATATTAATCATTAAATGTTTTCGATACTGAAAGGATAAAAACTTTGAAATATTTATTTTTTGCTTAAAAATATCAATATTATTTTCAGGAAATACACCTTTAAGAAAGAGGTTACGGAAAACAGCAATACCCAGCCTTTTCCAATGGGCAGATCCAACAAGCCCAGCTGTACTCGCTAGAGCTGACAGAGCTAGGACAAGGGGTGTCAAAAGAAAATTAGTAGAAGATATTGCATCTACAAGTCAAAGTTCAGAAGAAGTATTTTTTGATGACATTAATATTGTAGAGGAAACTATCAGTGATTACAGCAGTAGTCTTAATGAAAATATCTCGAGTCAACATGATGATCAGCAAACAGTTCGTCAAAATGTAGAACACAAACGCCAACATTTCCCCCAATGTGTATTGATAACTTTGAAAAGGATTATGCTGGTATTCATTTTTACACTGGTTTGGAAACAATCTCTAAATTTTATTTTGTATTAAGAACTTTAGGTCCTGCAGCTTATTGTTTAAATTATGTATATCACCAAGTCACAAATATCAGTGTCCCAGATCAATTTTTTCTTGTTCTCATCAAATTGAGGCGACACAGAACTAATTTGAATTGTCAAGATTATTCAGTATTTCGGAAAAAACTGTATCGAATATATTCTATACTTGGATTCTATTCATGTCCAAACAGTGGAGAGAAGTTGACATATGGCCACCTAAATCCCTTGTGAAATATTTTTGTCCCTCTGATTTTAAACTAAAGTTTCCTAAAACCCGAGTGCTAGTTGATGGAACGGAGTGTCCTATCAAGAAGCCAAAACAACCGAAATCCCAGCAAGCTACGTTCTCAACATATAAAAATAAGAACACAGTGAAAATTCTGGTTGGTGCAACCCCTGGCGGCTTAGTTTCTTATGTATCTTCTGCATATGGTGGTTCTACAAGCGACAGACAAATAGTGGAACGTAGCAGTTTGTTGAATTTGTGTGATCCTGGTGACTCTATCATGGCTGATAAAGGATTCAATGTGCAAGACATGTTTGTTCATAGAAATATTCAGATAAACACACCTACATTTTTCAAAAAAAGAACAAAATGTCTTGTACAACTGTAGTTCAAGACAGAAAAATTTCGAGCGAAAGGGTGCATATTGAGCGAATCATTGGTCTTGCTAAAACTTTTAAAATTTTAACTGAACCTATGAATAGCTCAGAGACAAAGCTTTTCCTCACATATAACTTTTGTGTGTTTTATGTTATGCAATTTTAAAACTTGTATTGTCCCATCATATGCATAGTAAAGTAAATAAATTATTTTCATTACATATATACAATATTGGGTTTTATATTTGATGTTGGCTTTTCAAACTTGGTGCATCATTGTAACAATAAAATTGAAAAAAAAAATTGAATGCATCTTAATCTTTCAAATTTATTTTGAATAATGACAGTCTTCATAAGATTTGAAATAATTTTTTTCTAGAACAGCAGTCCTGAAATGATTTTCATAGAAAATATTCAGTTTTCTTATCATCTCTGAAATGAAAGTATCATTTCTTTGAATTGGGAAAAATAAAATATCATTGAATGTATATACAATAAAGAAACATATTTTTTTCTCTGCACAAAAAAGTTGTCCCTGAACTTGATAGTAATAATCATGGTTTTTGTCCAATGAAAATTTGCCGTCATTTTGTCTTATGTATGGGACTGTCTGTCTGGAGATCATTTCGTTCCTTGCAACATAAGGGCACTTCATTTCCACAACAGTGTCTTCGTCGATGATTCCATCAGGTGAAGCAGCCAAATAAGGATTTGTAAGGCTTACACATATTCCTGTGTCATACACTGTATGTCCAGTTATGTCTTGGAATTTTTTTAAGGCAACTTTTTCAAACTTTTGTCCATGGAGAATTGGTGCAGAATGAAGTTTGCGTTGTTTCGTAACAAGTGTCTCTGCTAATTTTACTTTGTCTGTTCTATCAGTCATTTTGCAAATTCTGCCAAATACAGAAGAGTGCAGACGCTTGCATCTTTCTTCATGCCATATATTGCATGCAGCCTGTTTTGCTGTATTTAAATTCAGAATTCGTGCTTCTTCTTCTGTAATCTGTGAAACATTTATTTCATTTAAATACGCATAGCTTCCTTGAAGAGAAAAGTAGTCATGGTCCACATCAATGCCCCTCATGTTTGCTGGAGGGAAAGTTTGAAAATATAGGGGTCTTGCTTACTCCTGGATATGAAAGGCATACATTCTGGAAGTAAGACTTGTATCCTAGATTATTCCTATACTCGACTGGCCTAGGATCAAATCCATCTGCGAAATTACAAATTTCCTCACATCCAGGCATGTCCAGGTTATTCGCTTTCATAGGGGTTCCTCTATGTGGCCTCACTCTATGAAACGTTTGCAGCCTTTGTGTGCATGTTTGTTCGGTTTTCACAGATCCGTGTGTTTTGAATGAAAGGCATGCAAACAGTGCTGTGAATATATGTTTACAGTGTGCTAGAGGTCCCATTCCTGCTGCACACTCACACTGACATTCTGCAATATTGCCATCATTTTCCATTACAATATCTATAGTATAAACTACAGACTTTGACATCTCTGCTCTAATGGCACTCCTAACATACCATAGGGCATTGTTTTCAGTGGTACGGATGTACTTGATAAATCCATCGTTGTACAAATTCTTCGCTTTGGATTCTAAATTTTTATTGAACTGTGCCAAGTATGTTGTAATATTATCCATATTGCACCCAGGAAAATTCTTGTCACTGTTCAGATCTTCATATTTTTGAGGATCAGGAAGGACCATCACATAATATTGAGCAGCAGTAAGGTCTGTCCTGGAGCAGTGAGCATTGCGTGTGTATGCCTCAAGCCTGTATAAAAACAAATAAGCTGTTGTATAACATTGACACATATGTGCCTATTTGACAATTTTTCTATGAAAAAAAAATAACCAGGTAAACCATTGTTTTTGAAATATATTTCAAAAGGCATATATTTGAAAAATTGCCAGAAAATCATAAAATATTACGTATATTTTTAATTTATGCCCCGTAGAAAAATGCCTAGGAAATTCGGGCTATATCGTAAAACCAGCTAGTTAAGTTCTGCAATACATTTTGTCGCGTAAAATTATCAACTGAATTCAATAATTGTCTTTTCTATATTACATCTTCCTTACTTCTTGCTGAATTGAATAATCAAGTCAGTATTTTAAGTAAAACACGAATCATTGCTATGTTAAACATTGCTATGTTGCGTACATACCTTTCTACAAGCTCTCTTTTTCGTCCCGATTTTTTTGCACCAATTTTTTCGAGTTCCTTTCCTAATTCAGGAATAGTCATTGAACCAAAATTAGTTGCCATTGTTATCAATTTCCACTTAAGACAATATAAAACACGTTCGCTTTCTTTAAGAATACTGATACTGATAAGATGAAGAGATGCCATTATCAGCTGTTTTGTGTTGGACCGCATTTTCCTGTGGCGACCTCTCACGGTGCAAGATAAGATAACTCACTCCGGTTCCCCATTAAATTATTGTTGAAATATTCAGCTATTTTTCAAAGTGTAAATTGGAGGTCTATGTTAGGTACATGTAATTGCTTAATTAAAAACACATCTCTTTTCAAACTTGCTTCTACTGGGCAAAATAACAAGTATCATTTTTAACCATCTGCCTTCCTTCACTAAAACGATCAATCCAATCAATGATGGAATTCATAAGAAGTCATTTGTCTTATTGAAGTATGTGCAAATTATTATACGCTACTTCAAAGGGATTTCTAAGATATACCATAAATTTTACAGTCGTTTGTTGAACGAGTACAACTGAGAAAACCATTTTTCGTCACAAGTGACTTACATAGTGACGTCATTTTCATATTGTGACGTCACAAACAAAGAATAAAGCCTTATTCAGCATATGCTATTTATAGAACTTATGTATGGCTACATTTGTACAATTATTTTCCTAATCTGGCCCCAGGATCATAAAACAAACTTAGATTTAAATCAAATTTTCTATCACCTATAAATTTTACTTAATTGAGGAATTTAATTAGAAATTTGCAGATAACAACTCCTTTGAAAAGCATTATTGAAAAATATTTAAAGTTTGGTCTTCTCCACCTTTACAACATTTAATAATAAAAAAAAATTTTGACTTAAGGTTAAGATGTTATATGATCCGGGACCTGAATCGTGGTTTTGTAGATATAGAGAACTTTTTGATCACCCTTCGTATAAATTTTGATAAGATTTAAAGCAATATGAAGCTTTGATTTAGATTAGACTTATGTGTGAAAAGAAGATACTATAATCCATTAAAAACCTTTTAAATTTTATTTATTTTAAGTCATTAAATTGAATACTTAATTTGATAAGGTATGTTAAAAGGATTTATTTTTGACGAAAAACAAGACCAAATGAAGCACAATTTATTTATCATTTTATATCTATCGTAAATGTTCGACTTTTTTTCCAGAAAATAACGTTTGTAGTATAATAATGCCAAAGGTTGTTTGTTTTGCCTTTTTTTTTCAACGTAACTAAACATCCCAACCAGTAGATCCCCATTGGTGGGGGACGAATAAATACTCAATGGTTTCCATAGGTTTGGTTCTTTAATCAATGTTGACCGTGTTTTGTTATCTGTAGAAAGTTTGTAAATTGAGTTAATAGTGCCTATATAAATTAACTCCCCTTTATTGTTCACTGTGTGTGCTCCATATATAGCACGCCATTCATAGTCAGATTTATGTGTCAGTTGATGCAAAATGTCCCTTGTTGTGTTTGTCAAAATTAAATCAGTACTGAAGTTGTACCTATAACTGATCCAGAACCGGTCTAAAGTAAGACAAGAAATGTGCTATGCATAACTAGAAATTTTCAGATTAACAGTTCTATGTTATGCAGTGTAGATATCAATTCCAACAGATCTTCGTCTCCTGTCTCTTGTCCTTCTCCGATGTGGATTTCATTTAAGAAATTCAACCACATCCTTAATATTGATTTCCTCACTCAGGGAAAGAGAGACCTGTTGTGTAAGATTAAGAGTATCATTTATTTGTGTGATACGCGTGTTTTTGAGGAAAAAGAGGAAGTTTACTGCATCTTTTGCTGACTTTTCATACCTGTGTTCATAGTTTTCTATGTTGGAAAGGTGTCTGTAAATTTTTCTCATTCTTTCGTTGTAATTTCTGAATAATGACTTTTTTGTATCGGACTTTAAAAGCAAAAATCACACTGTTAATAAAGCCCTTTAGTGCCTGGCCTTATGTCAACATATTTTGTTGATGTCTGAAGATCTCTGTTTCAGCATGTTTCATATAAATTTTAATTTCTCTCTGGAGAAGATGCATATCATACAGTTTATTTTTAAATCGATCATGTATTCTTATATATTCTTGTTTAATGTCTACCATATGGTAGTTCTTGTGTTTTCCACTCCCGACCTTGACAGGAAGTTTTTATACTTTTTATAGACTCTGTCTGGATGTCTGACATTGGTCTCTCGTATTAGCATTTATATCCATATTTCTCTCGGTAATTAACAACATCGTGGTATACATTATTTAGATCAATAAAATGTCTTTCCTTACACTGCAGACACAGGTTGTGTTTACACGTGTTACAGCAACATTCTGTTGTGTCCCTCTGACATAGGAAACACATTCGTACTATACACTGATTGCTTAATTCTTGTGAGTACATGACTTGGAAGGTGAAAAATGTTAAAATAATGATCAGAGTAGTCGGAAAATAGCTCTCCAGTGCTAATGTTTCATTAATTTGTCCGACTATGAATAAATAAAATCTTATTATTTCTTAGAGATCTTATGTCCCGGATCCTTTAAATGATACAAAGCAGAATCATGGCTGATACAATGCCCCCTTGAACTGTTAGCTTCCCGAGTTGAAAAGTCCAACCATCCACGATTTATCTGTAATCAAAATTTACATAAAACAATATGCCGTGTAAGAGTTAAAAACATAATATTCATTTTTATCTCATTAACTTAAGTGTGAACAGTCTAAGATAACCCTATGAATCTGTTGACATGAAACATTATGCAGGTCGCTTTAAGGTGAAATTTAGTAAAGATGACTTTTTGCTTGATAATGTAGAATCAAGGGGTCATGTAGCATCATAAAACTAAGCTTATTTGAAATAAGTTTAAGAAACTGAGACATAATTTTGACAGGACATCATTTTAATCTTAAAAAGATATTCTATGCGCGGATGAAGGGGGGGGGGGTCGAGGGATTGCGTGTGTGTTGTTCCAGACCCAAAAAGTTATTAAATTCAATTAATGAATCAAGTAATAAGTTGACTGGAACCTTACCTAGTAAAGGCAGACACCCTCGAAAAGTTAATTGGTATGAAAAGCTATTACATGTAGTTTGAATCAACGACTAACATCTCCGACCCCTAACACACACACATACACTCACATACACACATGCACACCCTCTCACAATAACATTTATTTTTCTCGAGGCAGAACATGAGTGACTCGGAGTCCCGGGATATTCCTCTCTTTTATGTACATATATGCCTCATGGAGCATAAAGTAATCTCACATACGCGCTGGTCCTTAATTACGGTTGTGTGACTGTCCTAATGTAAAGATTGAAGGATGGCTATTATTCTACTGCTCAGGTTGACCCCATGTAACCTGGGTGAGTATACTTGTCACGAAAGTTGGAACACCTGATGCAGATTTCCTTGTGGACCTACTCATCAAGGGGGTTGTATGGTACCTCCTCACTGCAGTACTATGCCCTCCTGAAACTATATTCCAGGTACAGTGTGTAGTTGCTACCCTCTGCGGAGTCAGATTTTCCTTCAAGAGTTTAGGTTAATTGGAATAATTGTGTCTGTACTTCCATAAACTTGGTCATAACCTCATTGTTGTTTGGTACATGCAGGTCCAGATCTTTGAAGTGATTCACCCCCAGATGCCCCCATGCAGATCAAAGTCATTTTTACAGGCCTATCACCACTCCCCAGGGTGAGGGACATATCTACGTCCCCAACTATTCTCACCCCTCTACACTGCTGCATGGGGAAATAAATACTGGTGGTTCTTATCGGGTTAACAACTCAGAAAATTGGTCTACTCTTTCAGGTTGAGAGCCACCACATGCATTAACAGTCTGCCGCGGGATCCCCGCCAAACCACCTGGTCTAGCTACCTCACCCCAGAGCACATCTGTCACTCTTTCACTTTGGACTCTCCTAACCTCGACCATATAATAATTTCTTTTTACACATCACCTACTCGGTACAACTGACAGCAGATTAATGTTTGGGTTGACCTACTGCCCTAGTACACAAACACATAACAGCTGAACAGAAAAATTTGTTGACATATACACATTCCAATCACTGATTTCTTGCAATTTTCATTTCTGATACTTGATTTTACGCTGACATGAAATTAGGATATAATCAACTCAACCTTGCCATACCATGCAAAGGATGCGGCTTCTTGTCTTCAGTAAAGAAAAACATACGGCAATATATCAGCAGACCGGATCATTGCACCTTTTCTCAAATAAATCACTTACAATTTTTAAAATATTTGCCTCTTAAACACAGGTATCTGGATACAAGCTGCGCTGTCATCACATTCTCTTAATTTTGATTTTGATGCAGTTGTGACATCATCGATCAACGTTATTGAAACCATCTGATAAACATCAATAATTTAACAGTACGCTAAAAAAAGAATGCTTTATAATGATTATAACTGCAGAATGTTTTTTCTATGATTTTTGAAGTTCTTTTTATTTTTAAGATTTGAAATAGTTCTTGAAATAGATGAATGTATACAATAGAAGAAATTTTGCTTTTTCTGAATGTTAAAACACCCAAATGTGTAGAGTAAACGTTCTTTGTACAACTATGCAGAAATATGATAAGAAAAAATAAAAATACGACAGAAGACAGTTGCCTTCTGTTTTAAACAAAATCTTACTACAAAATTACTTTCAATGAAATACATTGACCAAAATTTATATTTTATAAATAAAAATCAGCATTTTAAAATAATTCTGAATTTCTTTTTTTCAAAGAATATTATTAAAAATTTATATTTATTTCTTTTGCGCAATAAAGCGGGTTATCGTGAAGTCTACTACTCTTGGGAGTTTTCTTTCAACGAATAATAACAATATTGGATAAAGTATCCAAACAACCTCTATTTTAATGATCAGTTCAAGAAAAAAACAATAGTGGATAAAATGACCTTGTCAACAAATATTTGTTTAATCGGATATTAACGTTTTGAATAAACGTTAGGCAATAACTTTTCTCTTGACTTTTTAATGTAGTTTTATGCTTATCCAGTTAAGTGGGTATGTTACCATTCAATAGGAAATACTTACTTCTTTATGACACCTAAATCCACATCTAACAATGAAGTGGTCCATATGCTCGTAATTTGATTAGTAAAATATGGCGTAAGAGCATGGTTTAGCTTGATATAAATTCAATTGCACCACAATCACGATTTTTCGAATAACCCCTGAA